CGTGTTTGAGATTGAAGACAGAGAAAAACTTCCATAGCCCTCATTTTCCTCTGATCTTCCTTTTTCTTACTTTCAAATTTTTTTTGCTAACTTCTTCAACCTTATCTTTACTAAGAAACAAACAACTTCCTTTTTCTTATTCTCTCAACTTCTGCTAATTTCTTCTCTTCTTTATCTAGGTACACCATTATTATTCCCTTGATTTTTCTTTTCCCTTATCTTTATATCCTCTTGGATTGGACTCACTTTAGATTCATTCACCACAGACGCTAAAACTATATTTTTGCCAATTAAATCATGGAGTTTGGGTCAAACAAAGAACGTTTTTTTTGAAGAAGATCATATTCAGATGGTTCAAGCTGCTAAACTTCATTTCTCATACTGAAATTACTAAAATTTGGGGCTGATAGTGATACCTTTGCACAACTCCGTGGCAAAATGATTCTAGGGATTTCAAGGTTTAGACTTTAGACTTTATTTTCAATATGGGAAATTTGGTTTGGGGGGTTTATTTCATGTTTACTATTAATTGCATTGGGGTGAAATGTCATTTTCACAAATTTTTAAGATTGAAGATGGCGTTTTACTCCCCATAGTTTGTAAAAGTCACTAAAGTAATCCTGCATATGCGAGCCATCTTAGGCTCATGAGCCTATCTAGCAGAGCCACCTATTGATCGAACTCGGCTCGGTGTATATAACGAGTTCAAGCCGAGTTGACTCGGCTAATTTCGAGCCAAGTCTTTAATGAGCTTTAGACGAGTCGAGCCGAGCTGGCTCGCGAGCTGTTCGACTTGTCTAACAACCCTAAATGCAACCGTGACAATCTATGGAAGTGATTTAGCATAGTTAGATATTAGATATAGGTTTTACTTTATTTTGATTTTGTTTTTGTTTTTCAAGCTATAAGACTTTTTTTTTTTTTTTTGCGCTTAGCTTGCTAGGGACTAGCAAGAAGCTGGTTGGGGTTGTAATAAGAGCTTGAAAATACACTTTACTTAGCGGTTTATGGGAATTATTTGTGAAAAATTTGCTTAAATTGGTAAATTTGCTTAATAATTTCATAATTATCATTTATGGGATCACGAGTGTGTCTGAGTGTTTTCAGGTTATTAATGCTAAATGTTACCCTCAGATGAAGAATCATGTCAGTAACAAAATGAGTGACGAGTAGAAATAAACGGATCAAGAATCAGAGTTGAATTGAAGAAGTTATGAAATTTTGAAGTTAAAGAGAAGATTTTAGATTATGCTCCAGTTTGAACAAGCTTTAGTATTTCGATGATAATGCAAGCTGTATACCTCAGATTGAGATGATTCTTAGACTATTGGAAAGATGATTCAAAGGGCTACATTTTATGTGTTTACCACTTGGCCAGATTCAAACATTATCATGCTAAAAAAATCACCATCTCTGGTGCTGAAGAATGATGCAAGGTCTGAACTGAAGAAGAGGATTTGGACACCATGTTGCAGTACTATGCTGTAGCATAACAAATTCCAGAATTTATGATGCCACAACATAGTGCCAGGGCACACTCACGATTTCTGGAAATTTAATTTTCGCGTTTTACCATGTAATTAGGGTTTTAGGAGTCCTAAACTAATTAGAAATGGGGGAAACGAAACCCTAACCCTTTGGGGATAAAAATAGGAGTCTTTAGCTTTGTTTCAAGGGATTTTCTTGGAGAGAATTAGAGGAGGACCAACGGCTAGAGAAGAAAAAGCAACATATTTTTTGAAGCTTTTGGAGTCACATCAAAGAGAAGTTCTTATTTCTTTCTTGAACTCATGTTTCTTACTTTAATAAAGATGGTTGTTCCTTTCATAATTACTATAAACTAATTTTATTTTCTAGGGCTAAGATGTAGCTCAATCTCTTGATTATGTGTTGATTTATTATGTTGATTTTTATTAAGATTTCTTCCTAAGTTTTATTATTTTGCCTAATACTTTTGATTCTTCAGGATCCAAGAATTAAATGAATTAATGGACTAGGTTGGGATCGAGAGATGATACTTAGTTGGTCTACGGTAGTAAAACCATAGGTTGAGGAAATGCTAGAGATAGGTTACCGCGATTTTTGAGGTTTTGGTAAACTCCATAGAGCGTAATGATCTCCAATTGCTTAAATCTAATTAGAGATAATTCAAGTTAGTAATTAGGAGCTAATTTGATAATTGTTCGAGAGAAAATTATGGAAATTTAGGGAGTTTGACCTGTAGGAAGAGCTTAATGAAATTAGCAAAAGTTATCAATACATATGAATACGAGTTGACGTAAAATCTATATCCTAGGTCTAGTCATCTTGCATTAAAACCAAAGATTTATTTAGTTATTTTCTTTTCAGTTTTTTTTATTTAATTTCAATTGTTTATTTTTAATTTAGATTTCTCTTGATAAAATTAATCAAATAGTAATAGAATAGTTTATTTTGGTAATTGATAGTAGTAATTCCCTTGTGTTCAACATTCGTATACTTACACTTTATTACTTGCACGATTTCGTACACTTGCGAAAATCACAACAATTTTCATGGTAGTAACAATATTATAGTATCATTATTAGCTACTAGTTTAAATATATAGCTAGTATGTGTGTATTAGCTATAAATTATTTGAATTTGTAGCAAATAAAAAATGTGAAAATTAATTTGTTACAATCCTTATAGTATGCAATTACAGATATTCTAATCTATCCCATGAGTAATTATATTTTTATTACTTATAAATTAAATAGTTATAGTCAAACATAATGTTAATCACACCACTAAAGTGAATAGTAAATTGGAACCTTCAATCAATAATTTACTTAAAGGAATTCTTAGCGAGCTAAGAGTGTGGGCTTTTATAAATAAAATTTTATTTTAAAGGATCTATGAGATTTTTGTTTTTTCTATGATGATTTAAAGCTAACACATTATGAAATATAGATGATTTTAGGTATGTGATATGAGATATTATAAAAATTGGTAATGTTACATATTTGTATACATGATATGCAATGATTACATTAATCTATATGATTAATCTTTTTTTTTTTTTTTTTCAAATTTGATATTACATATTAGTGGAAATTCTTAAATAGTCAGGAAATATTGATATGACATTGAAGCATTCATATTTTGTAAACAAATTAGTTGTTAACATTTTAAATTATTAGGATGAAGGATTTTACGAGTAGACAATTATTTGATTGAAAATGACTTTATTAATTTTTTATTTTTTATATTAGAATTTTTCTTATGACGTCATATTATCTATTTAATATAAAATATTGCTATAAATTTGTAATTATTATTAAATTTGTTAATTATAGCAATATTTGTTACAATTAATTTTAATCAAAGCAATAAATTATAAATTCTTGATATAAATTATTTATTCCATTGCAAATAATTATAATATTTACCTACAAATTAAAAGTATTCATGGCAAGTATTTTCAATAATTAGCTATTAACACACTATGTCCATAGCAAATAAATTTCATATATAGATATGACTTCAATATGTCCATAGCAAATAACAAATCAAAAGTATTCATTGCAAGTAATTTCAATATTTAACTATTAACACATTATGTCCATAGCAATATCTTTTTATATATAGATATGACTTCTATATGTCCGTAGCAAATAATTTAAAATTTAGTTACGAATTTACTATATGTGTGGCAAATAAGCTTTTTATTTAGTTACGAATTTAGTGGTCACGTAACTAAAATGTTAATATATTTGCCATGGATATTATTTTTGTAGCAGGAATGTTCAAGTTTTAGTGATATTTGTGTAGCTAAAATGCAAACATAGACATACAGATTATTCTTCATGGCTATAAAGGCAAAGCTTTTACTACAAGCTTATTATTATTATGGCAAAAACATTTAAGTTTTTAGTTATATATTAATCTCATCCATAGCAAAAAAATATAAACTGTTAGTTATATAAGCAAAAAGTTACATGTCTAACTTTTAGTTGTACCACTTCTAGCTACGATAAGCTAGAAAAAATTGCATTTGTAGCTAAACTATTGAGCTACCCAAATTCATATTTTTGGATACAATGAACACCATTGTTAGAAATGCATAATGTTGTAGTGATTGCTCAGTTAAATACAGTAAGCGGACAACTTTGTGGTTTGTTTGTTGATTTCCGATCGCCGGCACTCCCCAATGCTCGCGGCAATGGAAGAGGCTAAGAAGAGAAGAGGAGCAAAAGAGAGAAGGGTAATTTCGTCTTCACAATAAAAATTATTGTATTTAACAGAAATTGTTAATGGAATATAAGGTTTGGATAGTAAAATGGTATTTTAAAAGTCTATGAATGGGAAAATGTCATTACTATCATTTGAGTGGGAAAAAGTCGTTTACTCATTTGTAAACAAGGATAAGGAAACTATTCTGGTCAATTAAACATGCAGAACAAAATGAAAGCACTTTCAATTGAAGAAAACGATTAAAGCATAGCGTTTTTGGATTTTTTTTTATTATTTATTTATTGGATTATGGAATCAAATGAAAATTGAAGAACATTCTCTGTTCTCCTGAGATTTGTCATAGTTTTTCCCTTTTGCAGGGGGTAAATATTGGTGGATTAATAAGTTGTACTCTGAAGGTGAAGGATGTTATAGTGAAAATGTTACAAGGCTGGAAAGATAGTTAGTCGGGGCTATTTAGCACCACTCATTTATTACTCATTTATGCATTTGGGAGGCCACTTTTTTCTGCAACTCATGAAACCTTCCTTGCAGTCTCAGGGTTGCAAAATTATTGCACTTAATTTCTGAGTCCGATTATTACATTAAATAAAGTAACAGATTAAATTAGACAGCATATATAATTCGAATTTGGAAGCAGGAAAGGATTACATGACTATTGTAATTTCTTCAACAGTACATTATTATGTACTGGAATCTCAACGTACATAACTTACATTATCATACATACTTATTAATTGAAAGCTTGGAAACCTTATAATTAAACTTGAAACTCATGTTTAGTTTTAAATAGGTTTGATGAGTAAAGAGAGGATTTGCTTCTTAGTATCACGGTCTTGAACTCCAAAACCATCTCCATTCTCGTAAAGACAGTGCGCCACACGTGCAAAGTTTGTGGTAATATTCACAAATGGTTTCAGCAAAGACGATTGGGTGAAACAGTGTCCATTAATACTTGTCCAACTTTTATTTATCATCTCTTTAATATGACTCCGAGCTATCTCCTCTGATACATCCAATTCTCTCATATAACACAAGATTGATGAAGCTACATCACCTCTCTCCAGTTCCACCTGTCATAAATTAAATACGTACACTTAATTAGTTATGTTTATTATTACACAAGAAATTAACAGACTTTTAATTGATTTGTATGAAAGGAATATTTAATTATACCGCTGAAGTGCCTAGATCATTGCATAGCCGGATTACTAGAGATGAATTGTACACGAGTTCCTGATTTTTCCTGAGAAATTCTATCATTTCCACTGTGGCCTCATTCATTATTGAGAAAAATGAATGGACAGAAAGCACTGTACCGGATGATGAAATCCATGCATTACTCAAATACTCTTGTAGGGATGGGGTATGTCCATCGTGGTACCACTTCGCTTCCACAAATAATGATTTACAAAATTCTGCCCACTAAATAACATAAACACAACATTTTTATTAATTGCTTCATAAATAAATATAGTGATATTGACAGGCCAGTGACCAGAAAATTAATTAATTATATAATAATTTTTGTTGGGATCATTTAATGTTGTCTATATCATGTGTGTCATACCAGAAAATTAATTAAGAATAAAATTAATAGAATTTTCCCAAATTCATGGACGAGATTTAATACCACTTTCTTCAGTTGAGGTAAGACAGAATCGTTCCAACCCTTCTTCTGAATTTCATAAGCGATTTCGTTAGTAGTGTCATACAGTGCTTGAAAAGATATCTTCATACACTCTGGCAGATGTTCAATTTCCTTGGAATCCCATCTGAATTTTGAGTAATAAATTATATTTTGAAAGAATTAAAGATCCATTTCAAATTGTATGGCCGGTTATTCGAGTATTTCCTGATTAAAAAAAAAGATACTAACATATCAACAGCATTGGTGAAGTGTTGTAGTTGTTGCAATGAACCATAAATGTCATAAATATCATCGATCACTAGTATGAAGATAACGACTTTAGTGAGCCATATTCTAAAACAGCTGAACTCAGCCTCATAAACAAGTCCCACTGCACACATGAAGCTTTCAACCAGTCGATCTCTGGTAAATTTTAATTTCTCAATTAGGCCAAGATTCCTCCACCACCTAATGTCACAAAACAACAAAACATTACTTTCCAATATATATATATATATATATATATTGTAAGGATTATGCTTAAATTTATATAAGATATGTACAACGTACCTGGAAACCTCCCTAAGATCATTTTGGAGTGTGGCTTGAACCCTATTAAAGTTGAGTTTTGCTAACTCCAATAAACTTGCGTTCATTTGTTTTTCCTTCTCGTAAGCGTTCATGTGCCATCTGACTTCAAACCACGGCACTCTTCTGTGCAAAGGAAGTTCCAAAGCATGGGCAACTTTCTCCGCAAGTTCACTATCCAAATTACAACAATGGATATCTTTCAGGGTTCCAATTGAGAAAACTTTAGCCTTGTCCAAAATGTTTTCACCCTCTAAAGCCAGATTTGAGGCTTCAAATAGTTCGATCAATCCTTTCGCATCTCTACATTTTGTCGTTGAGAATGAACCATCTTCATCCATGAAGCCACTAAAGATATCTGAATTACAAACCATCCATGCATTTTAAAGTGAGATTATATGCCACTTAAAAAAAAAACAAAAAAAATCTGTCTAAATTTACAATGTGTAAGAAATTTATACCTTGTGAAATTTCATAGCCATGCTGCCTGAAGAGCCTAAACCATAAAGCAGTGGCATAAAGGTCCTCTTCTACACAAGATTTATCATTCTGAATTGAAGCTATGTCATCTAAATCTTCCTGAATTTCGTTTTCAAAGAAGGTGGACAGACCTAATTTCCTGATGTTGTCAATTAGTTCTAGCTTGGCTAAAACGTCTATGACTTCAACAAACATACGTTTCACGTCCTCTTTCAATGTATCAGCCCGGAGTCTATATCCCTCTTCCTGCTAAAACACACCACACAGTTAACCCCGACGTCTAAAAATTGCACATATCTAATTTAGTTAATAAGTTTTCAAATAAAAAATAAGGTCCTGGGGATAAATCAGACCTCATATTTGGTATGAAGGGACTGTATGAAATCATATTTCCAAATGCTTGGCTTATAAGTGGCAGAGTTATGTCTTGGTGGTATAATATCAGAGGCTTCGGACTTCATCTGGCAATACAGATATTGTTGTTGAGATTGAAGCTGCTTCGTTTGATCCAGGATGATAGTTCAAGAAAGTAATATGGAAATTGGATATGTTCAGAGAGTAATATGGAAATCGGAAAGCTGTTGGTTGTTCTTTGGTTTGCATGCTTCGCTATGTTATATACAGATATAGGCAATTGGACAGAAGTTTCGGAAAATTAATTGCGGTAAAGAATGAACATTGACTTGCAAATTACAGTCACATGAAACACGAGGGGGTAAAACTTAATGGTTAATTTTTCTTTTCGCTGGACAGAATGAACAGAACAGATAAAATTTCAATTATGGCTCTTGTCCTACCAGCAAGCTGAAACATTCAAGATGAAAAAAATGGCAATATCGAGTTTTTCTGGGTTGGCAGATTATGAAATTAATGAAGGGAGGAAGACAGGTAACCAATATGGAAGCGTATTGTCCGTATTGTGAGTTCCTGGTTTATAAACGTGGAGTCCCTCCACATGCTAGCATTTTGAGTGTGATACTCTCAATCCATGATAAGTGGTATTAGAGCACCGTTAAACATCTATGCAAGAGCGTCCACATGTGATTATAGGTCCATATGAAAGTGAGGTAGAAAGGAAAGCAAGAGGCCCCAACTGTGACGAGGGTATCACAGGATTAGATGGGAGAGAATGTAACGAATCTCATATCGGAAGTATATTGAGGAGGTCATGAGCTTATAAATAAGAAGTCTCTCTATCTAATAGATTAACTTTTTAAGTGTGAAACTCCCAACCGGTGACACAAGAGGTAGTTAAATATGTGGAGATTATTTAAATATGTGGGGAGTATTTTCTCTTCCCTGTTTCCATCGTGACTGTTATCACCATGACTATGATACCTCGTGTTTTATGCTAAATTATAACTGTGGTCACGGGGAATCTTAGGTTTACGTATTCAAATTCTCTCCCTTGTGCTCGTACGTTTGACGGGATGTGACGCGTCTTGAAAGTTGAAAGTCATTATCCATTTAACTCATACTTCAACCACAGACAAAATTAAATTGTCATTAGACTGGAAATACCGTATACCAATTAAAAAAAAATGTCCTAAATTCAAGTTTGTATTTTACTATTTGTATTCTAAGTGACATTATTGAATTAGATAATGTATACGGAAAATGTTATACTTACAACCTCTTCTCACAAACTTTCTCTCACAACCTCAATGTGGTAACTCGTAATTGGTCAACTCATAATTGGTCAGCTCGTAATAGAACTTATCTATGTCTCAACTAATAAATTATGACTGACCAATTACAACTATCACCGTCAAGGTTGTGAGAGAAAGTATGAGAGAAGAAGTTGTAGTATAACATTACTCAATGTATAATTATGTAGTTTTCACATGAACCTTTAAAAGAATAAGACTTCACTCTCCCCAACCACAATTGAATATGTACCATATTCATGCTTCCTTATTGTTTTTTTTATTTTTTTTATTTTTTTTTTTGGAATATTGAAAAAGAAAAAGGAGGATTTTTCTTAGAAGAATTCCCCTTTTTTTTAAATTGTTAAGTGTTTTTTTTTTTTTTTCTTTTTTGGTAGTGTTTCATTTCCTTATGAATTTTTTATTTATGGGAAGTTTTATTATAAGAATGAAAATAAATTGTGTTGTGCGGGAAATGCGGAGCAGATAAATCCCCAGTTAACATGTAAATATCTTGCAATATGAATCTCATAATCAAAGTTGATGATTGCACAACTTGCATGCTTAAAGGAATTTGAGTTTATCTCTAATTTAATCTTGTAACAGGCACTATATAAATCCAATTATAATTTGTTTTGCGGGGATTCGAAAGAGAGAACTAAGAAAAAAGAAAATCAATAAGATAACTCTTTGTAAATCAGATCATTGATATCAACATGCAATAACATAACAATGGATGTAGGCCTTGCATTACAACCAGTCGAATTACATTAAAAAATCTCTTTTTGTTTTTTAATTTCTAGATTAACCCTTGTGTATTCATTATTATTTCATCACTGATCCACCAAGATCACGCACACATTCCACGTGATTTCAACGATGTCAATCATGCACCTCTGGTTTGTGTAAATATCTGCATCAACATTTTGGCAGTAGAAGGAAGACCCCCGCAAAAGCTCTTTGTGTTTTTCCAGTAGGTCCAGTTCTAATCCCTGAGAATATGGCAATATCAATCATGGCTCGCACAACCAGATCAAAGAGTAGGACTGAAATCAGTCGCGCCGGCAATGTCAACATTGACAATTTAGAAGCCGTCAATGAGAAAGTTCAAATTCAATCTCTAACAAATCCGATAGTTCTACTGAATCCAAACGTGGCGGGGACTTCCACCACTCCCCCAGCCAATCCAAGTGGTGGATATGATTGGAACATTGGCGACAACGGTCTAGGCCTTGCAATAGCAGATAGCCACCTTACAAGAGACAATGTCAGGGCATCAAAACCCTAAACCAGTAGAACATCACTCAGGGGGTGAGAGATGACCTGCCCTGGTCAACTCGCACCGCAACTCTAACTGAGAGTTTTGGCTCGATTAGTGAGCAAAACCCAAGGCGGAAGAAAGAGCAAAATCCTTTAATGTGCCATGGCAAGTTGCCGATTGAAAAGTGATTGGGAGATGCCTATAACCGGCGTGACAATCATACCTCATGCCATGAAAGGGTTAATTCTCAAAGAGACACCAAGACGCCACAACCAGCACAACGGTTGTACCTCGCACCAAGAAAGGGTAAACTCTTCATCCTCGGCCCACACACAACTCGAGCTACCACAATACAATAATCTCACGCAATGATGGCCACGCAAGTGTGTTTGACAAGATCAAAAAAAAGGATCAACATGAACCTAGCGAAGATCTCCTTTCTCGGTTAAATGTATCATGGGGACATCCCAGGTCTGGCATAGGCGCCTAACACAATGTCCTAGTAGCTAATTAGCTAGATCAGTTACAAAAAATCCTAGACGACCTCCAAGCTCACCAAGATGAGCAATATGAGGGGCACTCTTTTACAAGTGGTGCTTTGAGCACCCCTCCCTCCAAACTTCAAGATGTCAAGCATGCCGGCCTTCGATGGGGAGGTGATCCCTTGGATCATCTGGATGCATTCAACGATCTTATGGAGCTACACCAAGTCTCAAGTCTAGCCAAGTGTCATTGCGTGGTAGTCACATTGACTAAAGAAGCGAAAAAATGGTTTGGAGGTCTCTCGACAGGCTCAATAAAATCCTAGAAGCAGGAAGAGCGTAAGGTCTCAATGCCACTAAATTACCTTAGCAATATTCGGTAAGAGAAAGGTGAAATGTTGAGATCCCACCTAGGAAGGTTCAACCAGGAAGAGCGTAAGGTCGTCAATGCCTAGCAGGAGTTGATCCAAACACTCCTCATCACCGAAGTTTGTCCATAGAACCTACATGTGGAAAGAATTGCAAGTTTAGAACAACGTGTCACTACCTCGCTTCTACGAAATGGTAGAGAAGCATTTACAAGTCTAGGACTCACTAGCTGCCATAAAGCATGGTGATGCCAGAATTCGAGCAAAGGCCCTACTCAAGGTGAAGACGAAAGAAATTAGAGAAGAAGGGATGGTCGAGACCAAGGTGACAAGGATAGGTGCCAATCCCCAAAAAGGCAATGCATAGAGTGTAGCGGAGAGCATAAGAGAGAGCCCAGAAAAAATCTTGCATTACTCCCTAGTCATGGTGAATATACTTCCTTGGTTGCACCTCTCGACCATGTCCTAATAGTATCAGAGAGTGCTAAGCTATTCCTAAAGCCCGAGACGATGACTGAACCATGCAAGGCGTGACCCCATGAAATACTACAAATATCATAGAGACATTGGCCACAACACCAACGAGTGTCAAGCTTTGGAAGACGCAGTGGAAAACCTCATTAGAAAGGGTGACTTGAATGATTATATGGATAGATCGTGAGCTTGACAAGAGCAACATGATTGAAGAGAGCAACGAGTAAGGTCTAATGACATGATTAACATTGTCAAGACAATCTTTTGAGAGTGAAGTTGGGGTAGTCAAAGGGTCGTAGCAAAACTCCAAAGAATGTTATAACCGAGGGATCAAAATCGCCTTGAAGGAGAAACGACTCCAGATCATAGTGGTTTAGAGAACAGAGCCATAACTCGGACCAATTAAGCATAATTACGAATAGCCTCATACTAGCAACAAACTAAATTTATTTGTGTAAAAATGGAATTTATGTTAAGCTTAGCAAAGCTTGTAATTTTATATTCAATTCTAGAAATCTTTTTTTTTTTAAGTTACTTTATAATGTTTGCAAATTGAGTGTTGGTCTAGTTTAAGGTTCCATAACTCAGCGATGACACTTTGAGAAAGAATCACGTTGATGCCTCGACAACTCAAAGTCTAATGGTTTGAATAGGCGATCTAGTTGTAACGCGAGGCTCATTCCTTGAGAAAATAACATTTCTATAGCTTGATCGATCTCTGAGGGACAACCTCATAACTTGATGATAGGTAGCACAAATGAGCTCTTAGTGAGCCATAACTCAATCGTAGTTCCTCGAGAAGAGCTCCAAACCTAACTCAGTGACTAAGTCTCAAGAAAGATGTTAGAGTAGATGCCCTAGAGCCAATCAATTATTATAGAATTGACTCTTTGTAATATGTTCATTAATCAATAAAAGGCATTTTATTCTATATCGCATAAATCATTATTATTGCAATATGTATTGATATATATCCTTAGAATGGTAGAACCGTGACGAGGGTATCAAGTGTTTCAAATCTTGATAGTGAGAACCCTATGAGCACATATGGTGGCCATTCTAGAAACGTTCGTAGCCCCAGTATTATTCTGAAGTAAGGGCACAGATAATACGGTAAGGCTATCATAGTGTTGAACGACCTTGTCGAAAGGTAGTGACTGATCTCACTTGTCAAGGTGTTGTTTGGTGACAACCTGGTGCAACATATGGGTATTGCTGTAGGCAATTACACCGCAGCAAGTTCACTGGACTAACCCACCAGAGGATTCCATATGGATGATAACC